AGTTTTTTTTAACTGGCCTGTGTTAGTGTTGTGGGTATAAATTTCTGGATGTATATATTTCTGGAAGAACATTGGACTCCTAAATAAACTACTCGACTAATTTACTCTAGTAAACTAGTTTCTTGATCTTTCCTGTTCTGTCAGTTGTCTTAGAAATTAATAATTTATTAAGTTGACTTTTTTTCTCCTTTCTAGCCTAAAATCTAAATTGCATGTTCCCTTATTTTTCTGCCACACTTGCCCCCTAAATCTCAACTTTAGATTAATTTAAGAATACAATTTAGATTGCCAAATACTGGCAGAAAAAAAGCCGCAGCTTTGGAGATTGGCGCTCCTATAAATTAATACCTAAATTTATCAAACTCTGTAATTTTGTCTCTGGTCTATGTCATCATTACTTCTTTCAAAACCCTACCTCTCTTGTTCTCAGCAGATTAATTTGCTTTTGCTTTGCCAAACAAATATGATGCTATATGTAATTTGAGATAATTATCACCCTTGACTTCTTCCTGTTCCTCTTATTCCCAAATGAACTTGTCTGCAACTGAAATCCGTTCTGATTTCCTGTTTGAAAGGGAAAAAGATCCTTCCTTTCTAGTTTTCTGCTAATGTGTTAGATCTTTTTGACTACTACTAAAATTCAACTAGCTGAACTGGCTGCTACTTTGACAATATTTTTTTCTAGTTCATGTATATCTCTGTTTTTCCATCTGTCCATCCCTAAATGTTTATCATTACCAAAGTATTAATATGTTTTTCTTCTGCATGCTCTTCGTTGATACTCTCATCTCAGACCTTTGTTGTTGACACCAAAGTTAGATCTTTATTTCTACCTCAGACATTTCTTTATTCCAAATCCATATTTTCAAATACGAACTAAGAACTTTAGTGTAAGCTTGTCCAAAATGCTACTTTGCTCTTTTTTATATTCCTTAATTTGAATATCCATTCTGCATCTACCTAATTGCTTAAGCCAGCAGCTTAGATATTATTTTGTGCCCCCCATTCCCATTCATCCTTGTTTTGATTTTGTCTCTAAAACATCTCTTGAATTATTTCCATCTTCTCTGATGACTTTTTGCTTTTAGTGATTCTCAAGTACAGCAGACAATATTTATATGAAAATTAGTATTCTGAAATAATAGTAATCTAATTAAAATCATCATAATATCCGAAGTAATTGAGAAGAGACATGAGAAGAAAGAATGTTTTGTGTCATGTAAATGCTTAGGTACAGTGGCACTTAGAAAACAATGAAGAATTATATTTTGCATGTGAATATGAAAATGCTTAGGCACAATACTAGAAAATAAGAATACAAATGTGTGTATATATAATCACATATATCATGAATATAATAGGTGCAAGTACAAACCAATACAAATGTATCATTTGTGACTCTCACCAAGATTGGTATGATTATCAGAAATAATGAATAAATTTAAATGTTTCAAGTTTAAAAAAGTAGTCTTCCTTCTATTATGTAGATATTACTTTTTACTTCCTGAAAAGTGCAAAAACTATTGTAACTATACTTTTCTCATTGACCAAGACATAGATAAAGTGCTTTGCTTGTGTTTTCAGCACAGAATTTAGGCACTTGAAAAATATTTGTCAGGGGTTCATCAGAGAGGGAGGAAGGAAATTCAGATAGCCGGGGAATGCACAGGGAATTGGGGGGGGGGGGCAGTGAAACTTAACCAGATACCTCGCTGTACATTTGTTGAAAACTATAGAATGTACAACACAGTTGAGATCCTTTTCTCAACTGCAGCTTCATCTTTCTTATTCACAATTCTGAAAAATTATGTTCAATTTAATTTGTCTCATAATGTTCTTGAATCTCAGTCCTTACATGTAAAAAATTTTCTCATGGAGTGTTCTTCATTGTTTTTCTATCTGATTATTTGTCCTTTGAAGGCAAGAACTAGGTCTGTTTACTCAGCACTTAGCGTAATATTGATACATGGGAGGAGTTCAATACATATTTCTCAAATAGATGAATGACATAATTACAGTTTTCTTTTGCTTGAGGTCTTCTGTGGACTACTATTTAGAAACTGTTTACCTATGTCTTATTGGTGTCTTCCATACTTGACCCATTATAAAAATGCCCAAATAGATAGTTTTTGTGATTGCATTTTAAAAAATACATTACCAGGACTGTGCTACAAAATAGTCTGTAGTTCTTTTTCTCCCAGGCACAATTTAGTTGTAAATTATTATTATTATTATATGCCTTTATTTATTTTTATGTGGTGCTGAGGATCGAATCCAGGGCTTCACACATGCCAGGTGAGTGCTCTACCGCTAAGCCATAATCCAAGCCCTAGTAAATTATCTTTTTATTATTTTCCTATAGTAGTGTATATATTTTTAAAATTAAAATTTTTTTTTAGTTGTTAATGGGCCTTTGTTTTATTTATTTATATGTGGTGCTTGAGACTCGAAACCAGTACCTCACACATGCTAGGCAAGTGCTCTACCACTGAGCTACAACCCCATCCCTCCCTTTAAAAAAATTTTTACAGTAGTGTATATCTATTATGTCATGGTTAGGAGGCATTTAAAGTTAAACAATTGAATTACAAAGCAGTAAAATTATTTCCAAGGAAGGAAACTGTTTGAAATTGTGTCCTTTTAATGTAACCCCTGTATTCCAGAAAATGGTGTGACATATCACCACAACCCTACTTATTGGATATTGACAAGTTATACGTTCTATATAAATTTCAGAGTTGTGGCAGCATTTATGACAGCATCACAAATATTTTTCTTCCTACTCTCATTTAATTTTTTAAAAACTAAAAACCCAGTCATTTTATACTAGATTTAATGGCAACTAAGAATGCAGTTATTGGGTATTTTGATGTATAATAACCCAGCTTTTGAACCAGTTCTAATATCTTTAGCCTTATCTGGAAGACGGTGGAATGTATGCTAGGATATTCCTGATAGACTTACCATTTTTTTATAAATAATCATTGTGTTCATGAAAGTATATTTGTATGTATTTGTACTTGAGGAAAAGAAAAAATTTTCTTGGTAGTATTAACAAAATATGTGCCTTTTCAAATTGAATAGCATTTGTGAGCAAGGTTATTTTTTATCTAATGTTGAACTTGATTGAAAAAAGTCTTTTCCTATTTGAATTGCTACTCTTTAAAAAAATATTAAAATGTTTTCCCCCAAAAAAATGGTTTTTAAAATTCTATTTCAAATGCATCAATCAACACCCTTTTTTTTTTTTTTTCCTCTTAGCACTGGGCTTTGAACTCATGGCCTTGCACATACTAGGCAGACACTACTACTGAGATACATCTCCACCCTTTTTTTTTTTCCTTTTAATTATTTTGAGATTGCCTGGCTTGGCCTGGAACTCGAAATCTGTCTACCTTAGCCTCCTGAATAGTTGGAATCAGATATATACTACTGAGCTTAGTGCAAATGCTGCTTTAGAACTGCATATTGTAGATTTGTATTGTCCAATGTATGCTTTGTATTGTTTGTGTAATTTTTTGAAGTAATTTTAGATTTATATTATTTATAAAAACAGTTCTCTTTTACTCTTCCCTCAGTTTGCACTAATTCTAACATTTTCTATAACTATGCTATGATTATTGAAATCCCAGATTTGATATTGGTACAATACTATGAACTAAATCACAAATTATAGCCTGGGTTTGAGATTATACCAGTTTTTCCATGCACTCTTCTCTCACCTGTGCGAGTGAAATTTGATCACATGTATAGATTCTTATGAACACTACCATAAAGTTCAGAACTGTTCATCACTTCTGAGAAACACTTGTTACCTTTATAATCATACCTTCACTTCAACCCCAAGTCATCACACCACTAACTCATTATCTATCACTTTAATTTTGTCATTTAAGAATAGTATATGAACAGAGTCATACAATATATAATCTTTTGATATTGACTTTTTTATGTAGCATAGTGAGATCCATCTAATTTTTTGAATGAGGTCAGTAATAGTTTATCCCTTTTTATTGAATAATGTGCCATTGCATGAATGCACCACAGTTTTTTCATTTGCCTATTAAAATATATTTGGTTTGTTTCCAGCTTTGAAGTATTACAAATAAGATTGCAGTCAACATGTAAATGCCTAATTGTCATTCCTCCAGAAGAAATACCCAGGAGTGCAAGTGCTAGGTTATATGGTAAATGTGTGTTTAACTTTAGGAGGGGCTGCCAAATTATTTTCTATAGTGACTGTGCCATTTTATATGCTTGTCAGCAGTGAATGAGAGATCCAGTTTATCTACATTTTGACCAGCTTATGGTATCATTGTTTTTACTTTAGCTCATCTAGTGGTACCAGTACTTGGATTTCCTTAATGGCTAATGATGTTGAACATTTTTGCTTGTGCTTATTTGCCATTTATGTCTTCTTTGGAGTGTCTGAGTTTTTACCTATTTTCTGATCAGATTGTTGTCTTATTATTTAAGAGTTTTTAAAATAAGTATATATTCTGGATGTAACTCCTTTGTCATATGTGATTTATAAACACAGAACTCTCAGACTATAGCTTATCTTTTTGTTCTCTTAATTGGGTCTTCACTGTACAGAGTTTTGTGATGAAATCCGCGTGTTGATTTTTTTTTTTTTTCCCCCTTTAAGGACTTGACTTTGGGTGTCATAACTCTTTGATACCATATCATTAATTAAAGTCCATTTTTTTGAGCTATACATTTTGTTTTGATATATGAAGACATGTATCTACCAATAAAGTATCATACAGAACAGTTTTCATGTCCTAAAACTCCGGTGCACCACTTACTCATTCTTCCCTTTCTCTCCCACAACCCTCTACAAATAACTGATCTTTTTACTATCTCCATAGTTTGTTTTGTCTTTCAGAGAATGCCATGTTAGAATTATACAATATGAGCCTTTCATATTGGTTTTTTTTTTTTCAGCTTATAAATGTCTTCCCTCAAGTATTTTCAGATCCTGATATCTTTTAATCACTAAGTTTTATTCCATTGTATAGATGTGCCACGGTTTATCTATTCACCTACTGAAGAATATCTTGGTTGCTTCCAAGTTTGGACAACAAAAAATAAAGCTGCTATGAAAATTTGTGTGCAGGTTTTTATGTAGATGTAAGTTTTCAACTCATCTGGGTAAATACGAGGACAGTAATTGGTTTATACAAGAATACATTTAGTTTTATAAGAGACAGTCTAAGTGGCTTTTATCATTTTGCATTCACACCAGCAATGAAACAGAGTTCTAGTTGCTCTCTTTTCTTGTCAGCATTTGGTGTTGTCCAACTAATTTTTGAAAGCTGTGCAAAAGGAATTCAATGGAGACGGCCTTTGAAGAAATGATGTTGGAATAACTAGACTTATTTTGTATAAGGTATATAAACCTCATATATAAAAATTAACTTATATAAAAATTAACTCAATGATTCAGATCTAAATGTGAAAAAGTTAAAAAAACTTTTAAGAGAAAATCCTTCGGTATTTATTTAGACCTTTGATTTCTTTCACCAGTGTTTGGTAGTTTTGAACTAACAGTTTGTACATGTTATCAGGCTTATACATAGATATTTTAATTTTTGAAACTCTTGAAAATGGGATTGTGTTCTTAATTTTGTTGTTCAGTTGTTTATTTCTAACCAGTTGAAATATGGCTTATATTGACTTTTTTTTCTGTGACCATGCTGAACTTCTTTAATAGTTCTGAGGACTCCACATAGGCAATCATGTTGTCTGCAAGGCATGATAGTTTTAAATTAATCCTTTCTAATCTGTATGCTGTTTCTTTTTCCTGCTTTATTGCACTGGCTAGGACTTTCAGTATTATTATATTTAATAAGAGTGTTAAAGTCTGTATTAATTTGTAGATATATTGCTGAATATTTTTGTATCTCTGTTTATGAAACATGAGGTCTATTGGTAAATAGCTTCTTTTTTTTTTTTGTCCTGTGTCTATATTTGGTATCAGGGTGATGCTGACCTCAAAAAATGTGTACTTCCTGGAAGAGATGTACAGAATTGATGTTATTTCTTCTTGAGATGTTCATTAGTATTCATTAGTAAAACCATCTGTAGTTGGTAATTTCCTTTTTGGAAATTTTGAAACTGATTTCAGAATGCTTTAGTATTTTAGGACTATTAAATGCTCTAATTCATCTTGAGTTTTTGTAGTGTGTGATTTCCAAATATTATTTTGTGTAAGTTGTCAAATTTATGTCTGTAGAGTTGTTTTCAGTATTTTATTATCCTTTTAATGTTTGTGTAGTCTTTAGTAATATTCCCTCTTTTATTCCTAATAGTGGTAACTCGTGACTTCTCTTTTTAGCTTTGTCAGAGTTCCTAGATGTTTATTGTGTTCATGTATTCTTTTTAAAGAATTAGCTTTTGGTTTTACTGATTTTTTTTTTTTTTTTTTTTTGTCCCCTCTCCTTAGTTTACGATTTCATGGATTTCTGTTCTCTATATCCTTTCTGCTTTCTTTGAGCTTCTTTTACTTTTCTTTTTCAAATGTCTTGTGCTTAGATTATGGGATTATGTGTCATTTTTCTAATCATGAAGTTACGTAAATTTCCCTTTAGGTGCTGCCGTATCTAAATAGATTTTATCTTGATTCATCTCAGTATATAGTTTAGTTTTCCTGTTCCTTCCTTGATCTACAGACAGACTGTTAGACTTTTGTTATTTTTCTGCTATTGATTTTTAGTTTAATTGTGGCCAGGTAACATTCTATGATTTTAATTCTGTGAAATTTAAAGTTTCTTTTATGAGCCAAGATAGGGGTTTATCTTATTCTTGTAACCTTGGAAAAAAGTGTATTCTATTTTTACTAGTAGAATATTCTAGAAATTTCAGCTAGATCCAGTTGATTTGTGGTATTGTTTTTTTTTTTTTAATTCTAAATCTTTGCTATTTTCTGCATTTTAGTCTTATACTACTGAGAATGGGGCGATGAAATCCCCAATTATAGGTGAAGGTTTATGGATTTTTATTTTTAGTTTTATCATGGTCATTTTGAGACTTATTATTTTTAATTCTGATTTGTTTAAATTTTCTGTTTTAGCACATAAACTGGTTCAGAACACATGTCCTGACCTGACCCACTTCTATGGTCTTTGGTTCCAGTTTATTTTCAAAACTCTGATCTGTGGGCCATCCCAAAGCCTATAGTTCACTTCTTAAGACTAGTTACTTTCATGCTTGAGCTACTATGGGTTATGCCTGAAAATACTACATAGATTGAAAGAATCCCTTTTTTTTCAGCTCCTTACTCTCCTAATCTTCCCTTCTCTCTGATTGGGAAGGAGTGGTATATTACCTCTTTGCCAATATTTGCTTAGTGCAAAACAAGGGATGATCAGCAGGGCTCTCTTCCTTATAATCTGATAAGTGCAACTTGGAAATGGTCAGCAGGACTCTACTTCATACTCCTGAACCACAGAGATGATGTGAAGGGGAATATATACTGCTTCTGTACAAGTAATTACAAAGCTGGATGGTTGGCAGGGTTTCACTCCACAGTCTTTGTGGTTTTAGTGCCAGTTGAGGAGGTAGAGGGACATGACTTCTTTTACTTTTTCGAGTAAGGAAGGAATGGTCAAAAGGGCACTATCTTGGAAAGCTACCTTTTTCACAGTTCTTTGGCTGGAGAGAGCAGATATTTCTTGATGTTTTCATTTGTTTTTGCCTCTTGGTATTTTTTGGTTGTGGGTTTCTCTACTGCCCAGGTTAGGATATGTAGGAGATGAAGACAAATCCCAAGGAACTCACTTTCAGATAATTCTTAAAGTCCCAACACCCCCTGTCAGTCTCCCTTCTTTTCTCTACTTTTCATAGTCTTCAGCTAGTTGCTTTATAAGTTTTATCCAGGGTTTTAGGTTATTTTCAGTGGAAAGAATATAATAATAATAATAATAATAATAATAATAATAATATAATTGAGCTATCTTGTCTGGGACCAGAAGTCTTGTCTATTATAATTCAAGATCTAATGTTGTAAAAGCATTCACCTTAGAAAAAACTAAGGGATATATTTAGTATGTGTGTCCTATTGATTGTTTTTCTTTTGCATAAACATTATGACACATATGATTAGCATAGTCTTTATACCAGGAATAGATCTTAATAGGCTTGTGATTTCTCTCTTCTTTCTTTATTGTCTCTTCTTCCTAAATCATAGGAAATTTCTTTTGGAAATAGCAAAATGTAATGTGAGTATATTACAAGAGCAAGGAAAAAATACTTTTTGTGTCCAATTTTCATAAAAATATAGTTCCTGAAAGTAATGATTTAAAACCTGAAACAGTGACAGGACAAGGGGTGGCAAACTATGGAACAATGGCCAAATATAGTTTGAGACCTGTTTTGCTATAAAATTTTGTTGAAACGCATCTACTCCTGTTTATGTGTTGTCTGCTTCTGCTTTCATACTAAAATAACAGACTTCAAGTTCCTGTAACAGAGACCAATTTGGCCTGCAAAACCTATGGCCCTTTACAGGAGAAGTTTATTGGCCTCAAAAGTTTCATGTATTGAAGGCTTGGTCCCCCCTTATGGCCCTTTTTGGGAGGTAATGGAACCTAGTAGAGGAAGTTAGATCATTGGGGGAATACCCTTAAAGAGAATATTGAGACCCTGGTACCTTTCTCCCTTTTTGCTTCCTGGCAACCATGTTGTGAGTAGTTTTGCTCCTCCATGTGGCACTTGCCTTGATGTACTGTCTCAGGCCCAAAGGTAACAGGGTCAAGCAACCATGGACTGAAACCTGTGAGCCAACACAATCCTTTCTTCCTTAAAGCTTTTTATCTCAGATATTCCTTACAGTGACAGAAAGCTTAGTGATAGAATCCTTGGCTTAGAAAATATTGGAAGCCTAAATTAATAAACATCCTTATACAATCATGACATGTCTGCTTATCTTTGTAATCCAGCATGGCATAAGGCAAAGAATGTGGAATTTAAAATCAGGCATACCTATTTTTGTATTTTTCTTTAGTCACTTATTAGATGTGTTAGTGTTCTTGTTTGTAAATTGAGAATAGAGGCACTCTTAATTTAGGAATTTAAAATTGCTTTCATAATTTGAAACAGATTTATATGCTAGTGAAAGTTACTTCAGCCTAGACTTCTGCAGGGCAGAATTCAGTGCCATTTTCTTATTTGATGCCATTTTGGATTAACAGTAAAATGGATTTAAGAGAGTTAATTTGGTTATGAGTAGGGAATTTGTTTAATATCTTCCTGGACATCTGGTTGTGAGAGTATGAAATAAGATAAATAAAAGCCCATATCAAGTGGTCTATATATAGTAGTTATTAGTTGGTTGAAAATAAGAGTTACCTGGGGTGGTAAAGATCTCAGTGTAAAAACACATTGCTGACTTCAGCTTAATTGATACAATTTTATGCCCCCCCCCTTGATTTTAAGAATTTTGAGACTGAGTACCATTCATACTGTTGCATGAATGGGTACAATATTCCGATTTTGTATAAATGTAGTTGTTCCCCCAAACATACAATTAAAGTGATGAAATAAATCCCAAACTCTTGAATAACTTATTTCCAAGAAACATCAAAGATTACTCTGAATACATTTTCTCTCAAAAATTTTGGCAGTGTCACTTCATTCAGATATAGATCCCTAATTCACTTAGGGCTGTCAAATCAGTTCTCCTTAACAAACTATATTTTTGTTGGAAGTATAAAATTTTTAGTTAATAGCCCAGCCTCGTTGATTAATTAAAGAAAAAGCATGGTGAACTGTAACTAAGTTATGTACTAGCAAATCTCATTAGGTATAGGAGCTGCAGGATGAGCATGTGATTCAGTTCAAATCTATCACTGCTATAGTAAAATCATTGAAATAATTCAAGTATTGGTAGTTTGAAGTTCAAATATAGCGGATGGTATTGATAAACTATGGGAACTCCCCTTACTCTTCAGTAGGACCTTAAAATTATTAGTAATATTGTTTTTTCATTATTGTAGTTATCTTCTGACCTGTCCTTGACCTTCAACCTTCGTTGTTTTAGAATTATATTTAAGAAATACATTTACTGGTTTTCAGATCCCGCATTTGATCAAGTGTTTCCCAAAATTGATAAGCTTTCTTTTTTTAGTTGTTAATAGACCTTTATTTTATTTATTTATTTGCAGTGCTGAGAATCTGAACCCAGTGCTTCACACAAGCCAGGCAAATGCACTACCGCTGAGCTCCAGCCTCTTGATAAGCTTTTATTGAGGCACTTTTGTTTTAGGTTTTAGAATTTCCTGGATTCCTTTCCCTAAAGATTCCGATTGAGCAGTTTGAGATGGAGCCTGGACATTTGTATTTTTAAATCTTACTTGATTTCTACACAGGAACATAGGAGTTGTTGTCCTTCTAAATTGTGTGTAAGTAAAAAGTGAATTTTCAGAAACTTGGCAGTGTCACTTGATGACCTTTCAGTGTTTGTGTTGTTGTTGTTGTTTGTTTTTAGTACCAGTTGAACCCAGGGGCACTTAACCACTGAACCACATTCCTAGCTCTTTTTATTTTTTTGAGACTGGATCTCGCCAAGTTATTTAGGGCCTCATTAAATTGCTGAGGCTGGCTTTGAATTTGTGATCCTCCTGCCTCAGCCTCTGAGGAGCTACTAGGATTTACACGCATGTGTCATCATGCCTGGCTGGCTCCTGATGACATTTCTTAAGTACAGACAGATAAACAATGTTGTATCCCGTAAGTTATTGCATATTTTCCATTATTCATTGTTAAATGGTCTGAGTAAAAGCACTTCATGGTTTGAAGGGGGCATAGTGGTAAATAATGTGAAATGGGCTTTCGTGGTATGCTAGCCAAATAATAGCATATTTATTTAATTGTATATATCAATGTAAATTCATACTTTTGCAGTTTCAAATTATAGATCATTAATTCTCTACCCAGCTCCTATTATCATTGTTATATCTCTTGTTTGAGCAAAGCCCTACCTTTTCATTGTCTATGCAAACCAAGTCCATTCATTCTTACTTTAGGCAAAACCTTCCCTTTCATGATGTACCATCTACCTCTCCTTGTTTGAATTCTATCCCATTATTAAAGGGCCAATTAGCCTAAGTTTCTCAGCTGTTTTCATTGATAATGATTTTCCTAAAAGTTCTATAGCTGATATCTAACCTGTAAATTTGTATGGGTGAGGGGCCCATAGCAAAATAAATAAATAAATAAATTTATTTTTTTCCTGTCCTATGATCAAACCCAGAGTCTTGATGCATTCCATTCAAGTTGTTTTATCAGTTATATAGAATTAACAAGAGTTAAAACTAGGAATCATTTATTTTAAATTTAAAAAAATATTTAGGGAGGAATGATGCCTTTTCCAAAGCTTTTATTACTTTTTTGGTCTTTGTGGATTCATTTTACCAGTGAAGTTTTTGTGGATTCCTTTTACCAGTGAACCTTTTGTACTTAACTGTGCTATTGATCTTTCTCACTTTTCTAGAATATAGACATCATTTGAGATTGCTCTGTCATGGTTTCTCAAGGGTGGTCCCTCAGATTTACCTGTATAAGAATCAACTAGATTCCTTATTAAAAGTGCATATTTTAATAATCTTTCCCCTAAACTATTTGCTTTTTTCCATGCATATCATTTTGTTGTTTTTGTTCTTTTGCCACACTACTGTCCATTCTTTTATCAACTTTGAAATCCTTTCTGTTTTGTTAAGCTATAAGTAGTTATAGATAGAACAATTTTAGGGTACTGGTTAGAATATAGGCTGTGGACATATGCTGCCTAATTTTAAATTTTGGCTCTTTTTTCCCCAAGATAACAAAGCTAGTTATCTAAAAATATTTTTGTGCTTTAGTGTCCCTTTGTATAAAATGAGGATAATAGTTTATCTCATAGTGCTGTTATATATACATATTAAAATAAATATTTGTAAATTCTTTAGTGTTTGTACTTAGCCCTTAGTAAATGTTAGTTGCTGTTGTGATTTCTCACTTTAACTTTCATAAAGTTTTGTAACAGTAATTTGTGATCATTTACCTCTATTAGATTGCAAATTCCTAGAAGTGAGGGCCTGCCCTATTAACTTTTATAGTTTTCAGTGGATTTTACATTATAAAGGGTTCAATAAATACTGCATCAAGTAATAGGAACATGGCAAAGTTCATAGTAAGATAGTTTTTCAGAGGCTATTTACTTAATATAAATTATAACTTAAGGTAATTTAATACTCTCTATTATATTTCAGGAATTCTAATGAATCATTGACCAGCACCATTTTACCAGTTGGAATGAGTTGTCAGAAATGGGCATAGTGCTTTTAGATCCACCATGTAACAGATGGATGTTACTCCATGCTGATTACTTTTTCAAGCCAACACCTGTTTAATTGTGTAGGCTCTTTGTCTCTTCATCTTTGAATTCAATTGCTAGCAAATAAAGTAAAAGTTCATGTAGTTTTTTTTTTTCCTAAGCTTGAGTCATCATGAGTAGTAGCTTAGGAAAAGAAAAAGACTCTAAAGAGAAAGATCCCAAAGTACCATCAGCCAAGGAAAGAGAAAAGGAGGCAAAGGCCTCTGGAGGTTTTGGGAAAGAAAGCAAAGAAAAAGAACCTAAAACCAAAGGGAAAGATGCCAAAGATGGAAAAAAGGACTCCAGTGCTGCCCAACCAGGGGTGGCTTTTTCAGTTGACAATACGATCAAACGGCCAAATCCTGCACCTGGGACTAGGAAAAAATCCAGTAACGCAGAAGTGATTAAAGAGCTCAACAAATGCCGGGAAGAGAATTCAATGCGTTTGGACTTATCCAAGAGATCTATACACATATTGCCATCATCAATCAAAGAGTTGACTCAATTAACAGAACTTTATTTATACAGTAACAAACTGCAGTCCCTCCCAGCAGAGGTGGGCTGTTTAGTAAATCTCATGACACTGGCTCTAAGTGAAAATTCACTTACCAGTTTGCCTGACTCTCTTGATAACTTGAAGAAGCTGCGGATGCTTGATTTACGGCATAATAAACTGAGAGAAATTCCTTCAGTGGTGTATAGGCTAGATTCTCTCACCACTCTCTACCTTCGCTTTAATCGTATTACTACTGTGGAAAAGGACATCAAAAACCTGTCAAAACTCAGCATGCTTAGCATTCGCGAGAACAAAATCAAACAACTACCTGCTGAAATTGGTAAGAGGATTTGGATTATTACTATTATTTTTAGTATTTGTTATGCTTAGTAATTTTGTTGAGTGCTTTTCCATATCAGAAAGTTCCTGAAACTTGTTTCTAAATTCCATTTTCCCTGTGATTTACTTAATACTACATGACTTGAGATTACTTTGTAAGCTTCAAAAGTAAGATAGAAAGTAGATGTAATTAGACCTTTATCACAAACTGAATCTGCTCTGATTTTGGAGAAAATGAATTTGAAAGATGTTTGCCTAATTTTTAAGTTTTTATCTATTTTTAAAGTATCTATATATTTATACTAGATATATTAAGGCTCCAATTGCCCATTCTGACTTTCCTTTTTTTATCTGAAGACTAAATTCACATCACTTTTCTACTTGGTCTTACTAAAGGTTGTCACATTAGAGCTTTGCAAAACAGCAGTGTCATAGGAAAATAGAAAAACGTTTTATAAATTTTGAAAGTACTTACATTTTCATTAAAAATCATCTAATATGAATATGCTATAGTGAATCTTACCATTATGTATATCCATAAGACACTAATTTTTAAAAAGTGTAAGTAAATAGCAGAAAGATCAGTAAGGGAAAGGGAATAGGAGGAGGGGAAGGGGATAAGGGTATTTAGGTCTAAATTGGAACAAATCATACTCTAATTTATAATTATGTCAAAATGAATCCTAATGTATCACTAATATGAAGCAATTAAAAAATGGAGAAAAAAAAACTAATATAGTAGCAGCTTGAGCCCAATATTTCCAGGTATGCCTGGGCAACATAATGCGACCTTATCTCAAAAATGACTTTGAAAGTTATTTGCCTAATTTTTAAGTTTAATAGCAAACAAAAAAAAAATCCAGTACAGAAAAATTAGAAGAAGAGAGATCTTATAAATCCAACACTTAGCATTTTGATTTCATTCTGGTCTTGTATAGAAAGCTGAATTGTAACGAAACAAAGGAAATGTTTTTTAAGAGGATGAAAAAGTAAGGAATATAGATGTGTAAAGTCAGTAAACGGCAATTGTCTTTATTAAAATTCATTGGCATCAATTTTTGTGAAAATTAAAGGTACTGTCTTTGTCCTTTTTATTAGATTTTTTAAAAAAACAGAATAAAAAGTGTATTTTGAAACTTTAAAGGGAAGTTTTTATTAAAGGTTTATTTACACAAAGATGAATTAAATATATTCTTACATTAAAAATTGATCTTGTAGATGATACAGGAAATTTTTGATTTTAGGTTCTACAGCTTTTCAGGGAAATAATGTTTTCTTTTTTAAGATGCATTTAAACTTGGGTAACATGTTCTATTACATTTAATTCTAATTAGACACTTAAAATATTAATTTAAAAATACTTAGACTAGCCATTATATTATATATTTTCTGAAGTAATACACTGTATGTGCAAAGGAAGTATGGTTTGCTCAAGAGAGATTAAAATACTCCCAGGAATTTCTTTGTGGAAATGCTGCATTCCATATCTTCCCATAGAAATGAAATTGTTGAATGACTCATTTTAGTACCATATTGTTAAAATGTGACTTGCATTTATGGCTTATTGTTGAGTAGAAGTATGGACTTGGAAAAAACAAATAGTGAGTTTTTATATATATTATAAATATTATTGCCTGTATTATTATTGTTTTGCGTTTTTTGCTATACTTAGTCCTAAAACGTTTGACTTTAATTCACAAGTCTTTAAGGGTTTCTTTCCATAGCATTGCTATCAAATTACCTGGAAATTAGCATATTTAAGTGAGGAATTATTTCATAGAACTTAAAAAATTTTTTTTAAGTTTTAGATGGACACAATCCTTATTTATTTACTTTTTTTTAATGTGGTGCTGAGAATTGAGCCCAGGGCCTCATGCATGTGAGGCAAGTACTCTACCACTGAGCTACAACCCCAGCCCTATTTAACAGAATTTTAAATTTAACTTCAGTTTGTTCTTGGGAATATACACGCAGCAGTTTTACTGAAAATTGAGCATATCTTTTTAAATTGGCATATTTTATTTTATTAAATGGTTTATATTTGGAGCTACCTAATCTCTGCCTTTATTCATATATTTGTAATTCTAAAAACAATCATTGAATTTGTTAATGTGCGCCCTTCCACCATTACTTAACATTACTAAAGTTTGTGTGTGTGTGTGTGTGTGTGTGTTTAATGCAAACATCATACATTTGTTTTAATACAAGTAGGGTATCAGGTAGAAAGTAAATTGCTTTTAAATATAATGTTTAGTAGGAGTAATGGTTTATAAGGTTTAATTTAGTTGAATTTGGGATAAACATGCAGAAGTCTGCATTATTCATTTCCTTATAGTGAACAAAAATAAAGATCTAGTAAAAATAACAAACAGTAATAATAGCTGTGTTGGAGCACACTGTTAATATGTCATATACTGTGTGTTGATCTGTTCATGTATATTATTCTGTTTTGTATTTCTATAATGAAATACTGGAGGCAGGGTAACTTAGTAAAGAAAAGAGGTTTATTTAGCTCTTAGTTGTGCAGATTCTAACCTATAGAGGTGGCATAAGATTGGCCTTGGTGAAGAAGGCCTTATGGTATATGACATTGCAATGTTGGGAGTGCCGGCAAGAGGGAGCTATCACATTTCCAAACAGGAAGCCTGAGAGTCTGGGAGTAGCCAGGCTTGTTCTTTTACAACAACCCTCCTGGCCGAATTCAGAGGTCCCACAGCAAATACTTTGTTTCCTTCCAAGGGCAACTTTGCAATGGCTTAAGGACCTTCCCCATTAGATATCAGCTCATACCTACCACTAAAGAGAACTGGGCCTCCAGCACATGAACCCTTGAATGAACTACATCCAAACCATAGCATCCTGTGTATTTTATATGTATATCACTAAATCTTTTCGATACCCAATAAAATGGGTATCCCTTCCTCGTAGTGCCAAAGGAACTAAAATTGTAGCAATTAGATAATTTATAGAAGATCCTGCAACTAGGAAATTTTCTGATTTTGGACCTGGGTCTCAGTTTTCACTCTATGGCCCCCACTGGTCTAGACAAATGATATTAATCCCATTCTGATTTAGATTCTGATTTAGTGATCTCTGGCAGGTCCAGGGAATTATTTTACTTTTTTTTAAAAAAAGAACAAACTATTATTTTATATGCAGCTGCAGTTGAAAGCCATTGCACTCATTGCAATGAGATAGTGTTAACAACATAATTGAAATATAATTCACAAACTGTAAATTGATACTTTTAAAGTCTGCAGTTCAGGGTTTTTAATGTATTTAGAGTTTTTATTCATTACAAACAATTTAAAACATTTTCATCACTATGAAAATAAAATCTGTACCCTTAATCAGTTGTTTGATTTAGTGTACTACTTTTTTACAGCAGAATGCATTACAATTCATATTACATATATACAGCACAATTTTTCATATCTCTGGTTTTATACAAAGTATATTCACACCATTTGTGTCTTCATACATGTACTTTGGATAATGGTGTCCATCTCATTGCACCTCTATTTCTAACCCCATGCACCCTCCCTTCCTCTCCCACCATTTTCCCTATCTAGAGTTCCTCTTTGCCTCCTATGCTCCCCCTCCCTATCCCACTCTGAATCAGCCTGCTTATATCAGAGAAAACATTCAGGCATTTGGTTTCTTGGGATTGTCTAACTTCACTTAGCATTGTATTCTCCAACTCCATCCATTTACCTGCAGATGCCATGATTTTATTTTCTTTTATTGCTGAGTAATATTCCATTGTGTATATATACCACATTTTTTTTTATTCATTCATCTACTGAAGGGCATCTAGGTTGGTTCCACAATCTAGCTATTGTGAATTGTGCTGCTTTAAACATTGATGTGGCTGTGTCCCTGTAGTATGCTGCTGTTAAGTCCTTTGGATATAGACCGAGGAGAGGGTCAAATGGTGGTTCCATTTGAAGGAATCTCCATACTGCTTTCCATATTGCTACACCAGTTTGCAGTCTCACCAGCAGTGTATGAGTGTACCTTTTCCCCCACATCCTCACCAACACTTATTGTTGTTTGTATGCATAATAACTGCCATTCTGACTGGAATGAGATGAAATCTTAGAGTGGTTTTGATTTGCATTTCTCTAATTGCTAGTGATGATGAACATTTTTTTCATGTATTTGTTGGTTGATTGTACATCATCTTCTGAGAAGTGTCTGTTCAGGTCCTTGGCCCATTTATTGATTGGGCTATTTATTTATTTATTTATTTTTGGCGCTTAGCTTTTTGAGTTCTTTATATACCCTAGAGATTAGTGCTATATTTGAGGGGTAAAGATTTCCTCCCAAGATGTAGGCTCTCTATTGACCTCACAGATTGTTTCTTTTCCTAGAAGAGACTTTTTAGTTTGAATCCATCCAATTTATTGACTTTTGATTTTAATTCTTGTGCTATAGGAGTCTTATTAAGGAAATTGGGTCTAATCTGACACGATGGAGATTAGGACCTACTTTTTAAAAACTCTTTATAAGTATATAGAGTTTTTAAAATTCTTTTGTTCTTTTTAGAATTTAAGTTTTTTTTTTGTTATTTTTAGTGTATTTTGACATGTTATACATACATGGAACATAACTTACCCAATTAGAATCCCATTCTTGTACATGACTTGGAGTATCACTGGTTGTGTATTCATCTATGAACATAGGAAAGTTATGTCTGATTCATTCAACCCCTTCCTAATCCCAACTTCTGTCTTTCCTTCATTCCCCTTTATCTATCTACCAGCACCCTTTGGTAGGCTTTCAATAACTATAACTTGAAATAGTATGACTATTACTACTAGTAATAGTCATACCATTTATTTAACCCATCTTGTCCCATTGTCCCAATTGTGGAACACCTCTAAAACCTTATAAAATAACTATAAAATAATATCATTATAAACAATATATATGTAAGCTGTAGGTTTTGATTTCCAACCTGTTAATGTACCTTTATAAATTTCATTGAAAATGCACAAT